CAAAACAACAAAACAATTCCTCACACAACTACATTCTGAGAGTAGGTAACAGTTAAGACAGAAACAACAACCCCCCCCCACACACACACACACTGACCACATCTTAGAGTAACTAACGATGAACGAAACACTCCATCACGCTAACCAAATCTGTGAGGGGAGCAGCTAACGGTCAAGATAAAAACAAAACCCCCCCCCTCACTGTGCAGATCTGAGAGTAGGTAACAGTAAACAAAACACTCCACATCACACCAGTCAGATCTGAGAGAAGCAAACACTTAAGACAAAACTACAAAACACTCCACATCACACTGACGACATCTTAGAGTAGCTAACAATTAACGAAACACTCCATCACATCAACCAGATCTTAGGGTAGCTAACAGTTAAGACAAAACAACAAAACACTCCACATCACACTAACCAGATCTGAGAGTAGCTCCTCCGCCCACACTAGCCATGTTGACCATACTCGCACTTCGGCTGCGCGGCCTGCCGCCCGGCACGCGTGATGGGTCCACGCTGAAGTCTTCCAACACCACACCTCCTTGCCCCCCACTCAGAAGAGGCACGTCGTCCGAATCACACTCCCACTGATCATCATCATCATCACCACCCACGCCAGCAGCTCCACGGTTCTCTGCCACACCACCAGACGCCCCGAACAGTGTGGGAGAGGACGTCCTAGCTGCGTGCTGGTGCTGATGTCCTGCTGCCATTGGGGGGACGGCGGGGTAGGCTGGGGGGTCGTCGCTGTGACTGTGGGCGTGTTCTGGGCTGAAGCTTTCCAGAGGTTTGGAGTCCTCCAAGCCTGATCGTGAAGGAGGAAAGCCAGTATGAAAGATTGTAAATGAAATTTTTTCAGCAAGACTTTTGGGTCACTTGCAACACCATAAGGTCATATATAAATGCCCAAAATTAGAGGAGTTACAAGAGAGTAATAAACACAGAAAAGAAGGTGGAGATATTGGGACGATAGATGTTTGATAGGAAAGAAGGAGAAAACCACATTAGAGCACCCACCAACCACCAGTGTAAATGAAGAGGCTATATGTAAAATGGGAAAGGTCAAAACAGGGACAATGTGAGAAAATCAAATTTTAAAGCTGGAAGACTCAAACTTCATTTCTGCTCCTCTGGTGGTTATTTTTGTTTATGGTAAGTGTGATCATTTTTATCTTGCAAGGACTTACCGTCTTCTTCTATGTAAGCTGCTTCTGTGACCTTGAGAAAGATTTCCTCGAGGTTAGTGTCCATCACGCCATAACTGCTGATACCCAGCTCACTCAGTGAATTGTCCAGGTTTCTGTGACAACGAATGAGAAAGTAAGTCAGAACAACAGGTACGAGAACAGAATACAACAGGAAAGAACACAGGACATAAAACAGCTGAGAAGTAAATACAGGTAAAGAAACAGGTTATAGAATCAGGAGAGCAAAGCAGGCCAGTGAAACTGGGAGCAAAAAAAAATTAAGTGGTCTCGCAAAACAGTTCATTAATGTCATTTGTGAGGCATCGTGGTAAAATCAGGCGCTCGTTAAAATAATTAAATCAAAGAAACTGGCATTTTTCTGTCTGTTTGGTAGTTTTGATTGAATTTTTGTTTTTTTACTCAGCAGCTTTAAGGTCCACTTACAAACACATTTCTACTTGGATTTTACTGAAAAATGTTGATTCAAGGCACAAAAATGTAAATTTGCAGTTTCTAATGACTCTCAAGCTTTGGAAGTCGCCAACCTTCGGAGGCAATTTTCTCGCTAATTTTACCTCTGAAACCAGGCGACCTCCAGCTCCTTTAATTGCAAATATCTCGACTTCTATTCAAGATAGGTGAGTACTTTTTATCCAAAAGCAAGACAAATGAACAAGCTTTAAAGTGATACTAGATCTAGTAACTCCACATGTCCAAAAATTGACGAGCGCCTGATCCCACCACATTGTGACACATAGTTTTTTTATTTCAGTACAGAGAAACATACCAACACAATAATGGACATTAAATGCTGGATTACCATCATGGATCATCATTACAAATTATCTTTGTGGATTACCATCATGTATCTTCATTACAGATTATCCTTGTGGATCATCATTTTGGATCATGATGAGGAATTATTCAAGTGGATTACCACCATGGATCATCATTATGAATTATCCTTATGGAATACCATAATGGATCAGTAGTATAGATTATCTTCACGAACTACCATCCCGGATCATCATTATGAATCAGCAGTACGAATTACCCTCACGGATAATGACTGTACTCACGTGAAAAGTTTCTCGAACCCGCCCTTCTTGGCCTCCTCAAAGGGCAGGACGTAGTGCAGCTCTCTGGTACTCTCCGACACCAGGTAGCCGCTGGACACGTACTTGGTCACAAACTTGGTCACTCGGCTCTCCTGGCACACCACGGCCGTCTGCGGCTGACCTTTGACCTTACTCCTCTGATCACCTGGAAAATTAATTGGGGTTTGGGGGTTGTTTAGCTTACCTGCTGGAAAATTAATTGGGGTTGGGGCTCGTTTAGCACACCTGGCAAATTACTTGGAATTGGGGGTCGTTAAGCTCACCAGAAAATTTAATGGTTGGGGCTCGTTTAGCTCACCTGGAAAATTAATTGGGGTTGGGGGCCGTTTACAAATTAACTGGGTACCGAGTTAAGAGAAGCACACCCATACAAGAGTTATTTAGCGCAGGGAAAGAAAAAGGTAGAAAGATAGAAACAAAAGAGGAAAAGAACAGAATAGAAGTAGGACTTAACAGTACTGCCCTCAACCACCCATTTTAAAATCAAAATTATATACCCGATGTTGAAGTTTAAAGTTAGAGGTATATGTACCAGGATAACGTTTGGGTCATTACAAAATTGTGTACGTCATTTTTTTTTGTTGTTCTGAGCGAACTTAAAAAAACAGTGCTTACCAAAGCCAACCTTATGACCCCCTCTCACCTTTAGCTTTCGCACCATCGCCATCATCATCATCACTCCCAATATCAAGCAAGTCCTCGTCCTCCTCATCATCAGTAGGGTTGTCTTCACCATCATCTTCATCCTCCTCCTCCTTGCCAGAGTGTGGCGGTTCTACCTTGGACAAGGTGAGGTGGTACCCCTCCCCGACCACATTCTTAAGGAAGACAGAGGACCCGCAGCACTTGAGCTCTCCATTCGAGATGATGGCGATACGGTCACCGAGAAAATCTGCCTCGTCCATATGGTGGGTGGACAGCAGGATGGTGCGACCTGGGGATTGGGGTTGGGGGTTAATAGTTAAGAATTTCAATAAATCGATAAGATTACATAACATAAGGTAAGGTAAGGTAAAGTAAGATAAGATAAGATAAGATAATTCAGATACAATAAGATAGAATCACCCAGGAAATCTGCCTTACCCAACCACACACACAATCTCCTGCCTTTCTTGAATTTGACTTGAGGGTTTCTGATCATCCTCTAACTAAATACACAAGTTCCGCCATTCTTTTCATACTCTTTGATATCATTACCAATCCTCCTTAAACTTGACCAGCAGATCCCAGATCTCCCTCTCGACGTACACATTACACTACCTCATAATTACAAAGTTCTATCTGACATTTTTGGCCGTTTTGAGTTACTAAGACCATGGGGTCAGAAAGAAACCAAATGTTCTATCTGCTCCATCAAAATCTTCAGATTTTTTGGAGTCGTTATCAAGATATTCAAAGAATTGTATTCGAAAGAGCTTGGCATAATATGAGAAACTTCAAATTTTTAACATAAAATATCTCAAAACTAGGTGCTGACGAGACGGAACTTTCTAATTCTGAGGTAGCGGCAAGTCTCCTTTTTTTTTGTTCATCCTCCCCCCATTTCACCATCAAACACTCGACAAACCCACACAACCACAAACACATGAGCCCCCCACCTTTCTTAAACTTGACCAGCAGATCCCAGATCGCTCTCCGAGCGTAGGGGTCAACACCAGCCGTGGGCTCGTCCAGGATGACCGTCCTTGACCCTCCCACAAAGGCGATGGCAACGGAAAGTTTCCGCTGCATCCCGCCGGACAGACAGTCTACACGCGTGTTCCGTTTGTCGGGTAGTCCCAAGTCATCAATCATTCTGGACACAAAAAACAAACGAGTATTTATGAGCATAAGAGTCCTTCACAAAGCACAATTTGCTTGAGTAATCAAAAACAATTAAAAAATACAGCAGTACCAGAAGAGCAATGACAATATCTTTACATCTCCTTCGACAGCACCATTAACATCATCATCATCATCATTATCATTTCTTTATTTTCAACTACAACTTATGTTTTGTCTTTTTATGTCTCTTTGAATGATTTAAGAACAAATTCCTGAATGACATCAGGTCTAATATAGCTGCATGTATTTTTTCAACTAACTGACAGCATTTGGCATTTTAAAAAAGGATTTGACAAGAGTTTGAGTTTGAGTAAATCAATAAAATAACAGCCACCTAGTGCACGGAAAAAGTAAGACAGAAACAACAGAGGAAATTTCCCAATAAAAAACAAAAACAATTCTAAAAAAAGGTAATGGTTAGGTTTAACATTTCTGCATATATTTTTTTGCATTTTGGCATCTTAAATAAAAACTGGACATTGGATTTTTTAAAAAGAGAAAAAAAAGTAGAGACAAAAGTAGAAACCAAGATATCGCCCCCCTCCCCCCC